CTATATAATATAGCTTTTTTTATACATTTTGTCGAGGGATTTTATAAAGAACAATGTTTTTTTTTCTTAAATGAAAAATGTCACTTGTTATTTTAAACAATTTTTTTTTCATCTTTTATTTTTCTATTTCCTTTCTCTTTGTCTTTGTTTTTTTTTTATTTTATTGTCTTCCATCTTTTTACTATATTTCTCCTATTCAATTTTATTTTATATTTAAAATTTTGTTTCAATTTTCAATCAAGTATATTATTACATAGTATATTCAATTTTTTTTTTAAATCTGAAAAGATGAAAATAATGTATAAAAAAAAATGACGTTTGAATCGATAAAAAAACATCGCCCGTCTCCTATTTCAAATTATAATAAATTCAGGATAAAAATTTTGTTTTCTGCATATATACTATTTCGAGAAATTTTATTATAATTTTTTTTTTTTTTTTTTATAACTGACGAGTGTCTCGATTCAGATAATTAATAATCCATAAGCAGGATGTTTATAGAAAGTTCTGTTGATGAATTTTTTTTTACTGTTTCTTTTTTTTTGCAACGTTTGCTGTGTTCATATAATCGATTTACGTATTCCGCGAGCATATATTAATTAACAATATAAATGTTTCTTTCCTGTATAAGTGAATATTATATATACTTCTTTTTTTGAAAATAATTCAGATACGCGAGTATCTGAGGAAAAAATTAATATCCCATTAAGAAAAAATAATTTTGTTTGTAAGTTATTGTTGTGCTAATGAAAAATTTGGTTGTCACAAAACAAAAAAAAATTAATAACAGAAAAAATAACTCTTTTTTGCTGATTAAGAATTTTTATTCAAAGTATAAAAAAGTATTTTAGAAGTTTTTTATTTATTTACAACAAAAAAATAATTAATTTAATTTTTTTTAATTACACATTTCTTTATATGTTATACATACGATTTCGGGGTTTTTTTTGGTCTCTGATCACGAATTCGATGCCAGTTTTTCAAAATACAAAATGGCGGCTGCAATATGGCGTCCAAAATTTAAAAAATTTGTCAAATTTGATTAAAATTCGTTACTCGGGGGTTTTTGGGAACGCTGATTACGAATCTGATGTTAAAATTAAACATTTTTAATATCAGATTTGTGATTAGTGACCTTAAAAAACCCTACGAGTAACGAGTTTTAAGTAATTTGAACAAAATTTTTTTTTAAGTTCACCATATTGGATTCGACATTTTGAATTTACAAAAATTTGACAACAAATTTGAATTCAGCGTCCTGACACGTTGAAAAGGACCTTACGATAATCTAAATTTTAGGTTATGTTTAGTAACAGTTTTTCACCTTAATGAAACGTTTATTTTCAATTATGTAAAATCAAAATCAATTTTTATTGAATATTTTGAATCTAATAACTACTTATCAATGTGGAAAGATTTCCGCAAGAATTCTAATAAGTAATTTTTCTGGGAAAAAATACGAAAATTTTTCAGAATTTTTCCGGAAATCCTTGGCCACATGCATAAATAGGTATAAGTGGTTTGAATTAAAAGGTGATCCTATTTATATATATATTTTCACTTCAAAAATCATAAACATAACCTTAAAATTTTATTTACCGTGTCAGGACATATATAAAATAATAATAATAATTATTATAATAAACAGTGGAAACGAGAAAAGTCATCAAACTGTTTGATATGCCGAATTGCGTGTAATATTAGTGTATATGAGATGTGTAGTGAACTATATATATATATACTATGCATCGCAAAAGTTATGGTTTAAAGTTATTCACTTAAATCCGTACATCAGGCGAAACTTTCGTAAAACTTATGTCACCACACGAAATTTCAACCCGACATAGTTTCTGAGCGACACACAGGCTCTTATATGGAATAATAAATTTTCTGTCAAACTACGAAAAGCTCTCTCACACAGTGAATTTGAAATTCGCGCTTATTAGTCGTTTCAAATATAATACCCCCCCCCCTCTCTCTCTCTCTTCAAAACTTGCTTATAAAGTCGGACTTTAACTCTTAAATAATAAACGTTATGCACTGAATATATGTATATTATATGTTTCATGATAATAAAAAAAGGTTAATATTTTCCATTTTACGCTTACTTCAGTTATATTTTCGTAAATAAAACACTATTTAACAAAAACAGAATTGTAAAGAATTTTTCAAAGATAAAAAGGTGAAAAAAAAATGGAATAAAAATTACATATAATTTTTAAGAAAAAAATGAACAAAAATTATTATTTGGCGGTAAATTTTGAGTCCAATTTTTTTTTTTTCTTTGAAAATTTGTACAACTAAATCTTTTAAAATTTGATGTGTTAAATATATTTTTAGTTTTGTGAAAAAATTATTTTTTAGTTTGAGGTTATGTTACGGGACTTACCCTCTTAACTGTGACATCTTATTAAAAAAACTATCATTTTTTTATGTAAATTTAGAAAATTAATTAATTAACATTTAACAACTGAAAAATAGCATTTCGGAATGTTCTAAACTCATGACTACAAAAAAAAAAAATAGTCGGCAAAAAACACTTTTTAAAAAACGTCTACAGTAAAAAAAAATTTATTTGATTTAAATAATAATTGGTTACTTGACTATTATTAAATAAATACTTACCTTGAACCAAGTAATTTTTATTTGAATTATATAAACTATACTAGCTGTCGCACCCGTCTTCGACGGTTATAATATTTAGATTTAATAAATTTTGAAATTTATAATTACATCCAACTATACGTGTTCTCCTGTATTAAAATATCTTTTTATAAATTTTTAATTATTATTTATTCAATTCAATTTAATTTTTTCACTGCTTTTAATAAAATTAAAATAATTTAAAATTGTATTTAATTTTATAGTATTGAAAATAAAAATTATTTTAATCAATACAATTTAAATTAAAATTTTAAAAAACTTTAAAAATTATTTGAAGAATAAATTTTTAATAGAAAAATTTCTTTTAAATAAAAAGAAAATAATTTAATTTTATTATATTTATTATATTATATTTAAGTTTATTTAGTTTATTTAGTTTTATTATATTTAAAAATAATTTGTATCTATAATAATAATAATAATAATAATAATAATATTCAATAATAATAATAATAATTTAAATATAATAATTGTTAATTTCAAAGAGTAAAAAAGTAATTTTCGATTTTTTATTTTTACAATATCTGATTTCATATTCAGATTTGCAATTATTAATTTTAAAATTCTGATAAAATTCTTAAAATTTCTTGTTAAAAGCATACTTAATTGGTCACAAAATTTTAAATAAAGAACGTTTAGTAAAGAATTATCAAAAAATAAAAAATGTTAAATTTTTTAAATTTTTTGAAAGTGTCATATTTTTGTTTAAATTAATATTTTTCATTGGTGTGCAGCTAAGATTGCGTTTAATACCCAACAGACTAAAAACATTATTGTTTTACTTATAAAAAGTTGAACATAACGAATTCTTATATTACAATGTTATTAAAAAAATTGGAAATTCAAAAATTTGATTTAGACTTTTAAATTCAGACTATTTACTTAATTTAATAAAAAAATTGATTGTATTTATGTGAAAAAATTAGGTACAAATAGTTTCAAATCAATCTGACAAAAAATAAAAAATTTGCATTTTTTTGATTTTTTCAAATTTTTTGAAAAAATGTCATAACTTTCGTTCATGTTAATATTTTTTAATCAAATATGGCTAAGATTTTAAGTTACGTTAAGACTGAATACACTGCCAAGTTTCACCTCAATCGGTTGAGCCGTTTTAAAGTTTTGCCGGTACAAAATATTGACGACAGACAGACAGATAGACAGACAGACAGAATTTTTATTTATGGCATATTTGTTATCTTTACTACTTAAAATGATAAACTATGCAAGAAAAAATTAATTTGGAGCAATGTACAGACGAAAGTCTGATTTTATTAATATAGATTTAAATTAATTACAATTTCTGTATTTGAAACAAATACAATTTAATTGATTGAAATAATTATTTTATACAAATAAATATATTTATTTTCTAATATAGTCAAGTACCTAACCAATTATTTGAATCAAATAAATTTTTTTTTCAGTGTACAAAAATTTTTCTACGACAGTAAAAAAAAAAATTTCAAATACATGTAACTTGTAGCTTATCTCACTATAAAAACAAAACGTTTTCCACTCATGGCTACATTTCCCTATGTAAAGTAATACTTAATACAAAAAATTTTGTTTCCATTTGTCAGTTTTATAGAAAGAAATTATTGAAAACAAATTAAAAAATTATTTTTCTTTTCTTAATCTCATTTATTTAAAATTAAATTTTTTTTCATTAACCCTTAACTGACACAATTCGAACGTAAATGGCACAACGGGTCTACTGGACCCGACGTATTCAAACGCGTGTATATTTTACAGCCGGTATTGAATAGTTTTGCACAAAAATTTAATCTGTGGTAGCTTATGACATGTTTTTTAAAATTTCTTCAGTTTTACAGGGATTAATTTATTTGAAGTTAGTTAAAAAAAAATTGTGAAAAATAAAAACCAAAAAAATTGCGTTTTTTTACTTAAAAATTCATGACTTATTTACATTTTAATATTACGATTTAAAAATTACAACTAATTCATATAGCAAAAAAAAAAAAATATATTTGTTACACAATTTTTAGATATAAAAAAATTTATTTTTATAAAAATTAACCAACTTTTATCAATTTTTTTTTTTCTTCACCCTTATTTTATTTTTTTAATTTCTTTTGAAAACTCCATTTTTGAAACAATTTGTAATTTTTTTTATTTTTCATTTTATCAATTTCCTTTTTTTTTGTTATTATTTTGTAAAATTTTTATATTTTTCAATAAATATATATATATATATATATATATATATATATATATATATATATATATAAAAAAAAGTGTCACTTGTGCATATATAGTGTAAGGAAGAAAATTTTTCAATTCTTCATATGAGTGAGAGAGAGATTCACACTCACCCTGTGTGTATGTATATATACTCGTGGGTCGTTTCACAGCACGTTTTACTCCCACGTCACTTTCCGAACCCGCGTAATCGAATATCGAGCAATCGTTCTCTCGCGGTATAGCCAGAAAATAAATTTCGCGACGTTTCCTGCCAACCTCATCGAGAATATATAGACTTTTGTCCCAACTGAAAGAGTGAAAGAAGAGGGGGCGAACTTTGCCTTCTCTTCTATACTTTATACAATATATATATATTGGAGAAGGGGGCAAAATATATATATATCTCAAGGAAAATGCACCTTTCTTATTTCATCTTTCGTTATATTCCTTCTCCTCCTCTTCTTTTTTTTCATCCCCCATTTCTTCATCTTCAAACATATATTCCTCTGCGCACTATACTTTGATATACGTATATATATATATATATACTTGAGACGAATGAATAATGCCTAAAATTAATTTGTTAGAATTTTTATTTGATACAGAATTTCAATTAGATGGAATTTTCTTTTAGTCGAATTTTTATTTGCTCGAATTATTTTTTGATAGAATTTTTATTAAAATGATTTTCAATATTAATAGAATTTTTATATAATCGCAAAATTTACTGAACTGAATTTCTATTTGATTGAATTTTTTTTTTATTCAATAGTTAACATAACCTAACATAACATAACCATTTTTAGGTTATGTTAACTAAAACGTTTTCTAATCTAAAAATGAGGCAAATAATCGTAATGAATTTTGTTAGGGAATGTTGCTATTGGATAAAACTGCCAGCCATGATTGCCCCAATATTCACCCTAGATTGGTAAGCAACGCTGTAATTTAATAATTTCAGCAGAAATAAATCCAATAAACATTCAATTTTACGAAGCTGAAGTACGCAACGTTTATATAAATGATTTTTAAAGAAACAATTTATACCTATAAACGTTGCGTACTTCAACTTCGTTCAATTTTGGTATAGGCAATGCTGTTATTTGGTAAAACTGTATGCCATGATTGCGCCAATATTCGACCAAGTTTGGTAGACGGTGATGCTATCAATTATATAACATTAGCATTGAAGATTAAAAGAATATTCTCTCAATTATTGTAGCTAATTTTGTAGACAAGTAATTAACACTGGCATCCAAGATTGAACCAATATTCTTCCACTTATTGTACATATAGTGCTGTAATAAATTAATATTGTCACCAAAAGTTTTTTTTAATATTTGTCCAATCTTGATACTCAATATTGCAGTGAAATAATTAATATTGGCATTAGTGATTGAGCCAGATTTCGCCCAAGCTTGTGGCCCATATGCAGTGATGAATAACTTAAAATTGGTTGAATGTTTGGGTGACATTGGATTAATTAAGGATATGAGTCATTCCATTATATTTCGAACAATGTCGTTGCCGACTAATTTTTAAAAATTATGATACTTTGCAGGGATGATCTTGAAGTTATAAAGATCACGAAATGAAAAGATTTTTACTAAAATTTTTATTATTTACTTTAAAATATGAATTTAAAGTGTACGAGGTGCTGAAAATTGACAGTTTTTCAGCCAGCAGAAAATATTCGAAAAAACCTATAATTTACCATAAAAGTGTGAAAATTATTATTGCAATTTATTAAGAATGACTAAATTTACTTTTATAAATTGATTTAAGCATTTAAAGATATGAAATAATAGGAAAAACATGATTTTCAATTTCATCTTAAAAATAACCTAATTTTGCTATTTTTATCGATTAATTATGAGAAAGGGTAAATATTAAATTAAAAAAAAACTTACCAAATATCAAGTCATTGCTATTAACTTTCAGATTTTCTTTGTACTTTTTAATTTTTCTCTTTATTTATATAAAAATTTTGAAAAAGAAAATTGCCACTTTGCTAATTTTTGCGATTTTTGAAACTGAATAACTTGTTTACAGTAAAACGGAAAAATCTGGGATTTTGGGAGTATTTAAATATTCACTAAATAAACACACTCCAAAAGTCTTGCGTTGGTTTTCGAGCTATTTTGTAAGATAAAGCAGATCGAAATTTCATTACTTTTGAGGCTATATTGACAATAATTTGTTCTTAACTTGAAGTTGGCTCGCAAGTGTCGAGCCTTGTAATAAATTCATATTTGTTTATATTAAATGACAACACTTGCGAGCCAACTTCAAGTTAAGAACAAATTATTGTCAATATAGCCTCAAAAGTAATGAAATTTCGATCTGCTTTATCTTACAAAATAGCTCAAAAACCAACGCAAGACTTTTGGAGTGTGTTTATTTAGTGAATATTTAAATACTCCCAAAATCCCAGATTTTTCCGTTTTACTGTAAACAAGTTATTCAGTTTCAAAAATCGCAAAAATTAGCAAAGTGGCAATTTTCTTTTTCAAAATTTTTATATAAATAAAGAGAAAAATTAAAAAGTACAAAGAAAATCTGAAAGTTAATAGCAATGACTTGATATTTGGTAAGTTTTTTTTTAATTTAATATTTACCCTTTCTCATAATTAATCGATAAAAATAGCAAAATTAGGTTATTTTTAAGATGAAATTGAAAATCATGTTTTTCCTATTATTTCATATCTTTAAATGCTTAAATCAATTTATAAAAGTAAATTTAGTCATTCTTAATAAATTGCAATAATAATTTTCACACTTTTATGGTAAATTATAGGTTTTTTCGAATATTTTCTGCTGGCTGAAAAACTGTCAATTTTCAGCACCTCGTACACTTTAAATTCATATTTTAAAGTAAATAATAAAAATTTTAGTAAAAATCTTTTCATTTCGTGATCTTTATAACTTCAAGATCATCCCTGCAAAGTATCATAATTTTTAAAAATTAGTCGGCAACGACATTGTTCGAAATATAATGGAATGACTCATATATAAAATTTGTTATGTAGAAAATGTTACGATTCATTTAAGAATATTGAATAACCAAAATTGGGCCAATATTCACCCAAGTTTGTCAGACATTGCTGTAATTGAATAATTTTAGCTAAAATTATTTCAATAATCATTGAATTTTGGTAGGAAATTTTGCAATTGAATAAAACTAGCAGCCATGATTGCGCCAATATTCCACCAAGTTTGTTAAGAAAACGGTTTAGTTAAATAATTTTAGTGACAATTGAACCGAGTATTTTTAAAATTTGATATAAAATGCTGCTATTTGATAAAACTGGCTGCCATGATTGCGCCAATATTCCACCAAGTTTGTTAGGCAACGGTTTAGTTAAATAATTTTAGTGACAATTGAACCGAGTATTTTTAAAATTTGATATAAAATGCTGCTATTTGATAAAACTGGCTGCCATGATTGCGCCAATATTCCACCAAGTTTGTTAGGCAACGGTTTAGTTAAATAATTTTAGTGACAATTGAACCGAGTATTTTTAAAATTTGATATGAAATGCTGCTATTTGATAAAACTGGCTGCCACGATTGTGCCAATATTGGACCAAGTTTTGTAGACGGCGATGCTATCGATTCAATAGTATCCTGTGCATAAATTCGCCAACCTGGCCTTGAACCGGTTGAAACAGGGAAACCGACCGGGGCCAAACCAGGCCATAGTCGGGCCTCGGTTTTAATCGGCTTTTTTTCCATGGTCCCGATCAGGTTCCCGGATTGTAGTTTCCCGACGTGGACCCTGTCAAGGCCCTTTCAAAAGTTCTGCACGGGATATGTTGAACAGGAAGAATTTTATTTTTAAATTTGCTTCTTTACATACAAAAAAAAAATTTTATAAAAGATAATTTTACTTAAAATATATCCAGAAAAAAAATCATTAGAGGTAATATTTTTTATGTAATAAATAATATTTTATGTAGGTACATAATAAATAAATATTTTAAATTAAAAATTTAAACGAAATGCATAAATTATAATTATTTCTTTTTTTTTTATTGTTTCAGGTAAGACATGAAATTTTCAATATTTATCCACTTGACAAAAATTTCGTAAGTATTTTATTTATACAATTTCCGATTTTTACAAATTTGGCTATTTTTCGCATTTTTTTTTATTCTACTTTTTTTCCAAATAGTATAATTATTATAAAATTTGCACAAAAAAAAATTAAGAAAATATGTAAAATGAATAGAATATTTAAAAAAAATAATGGCAGTGAATAAAGTCACATGTAAGTTTCAAAAAAATTATATACATATTTTCTTTCATAAAAAATATTTTTGATGGAAGTTTTATCTGTTTTTTTTTATAGCAACATCCTAGTATATCATCACGTGGAACTTTGAAAAGTTTTAGATCAAAGTATAACAAAGTTTTTCCTATGCATTAAAAATACTTAAGTGTATTAACTTATATAGTTGTAACTTGTTGAGTCATATATTTATAAGAATATGAAAATTTGCATTATTTACAATTTTCATCATAAATGTGTGAAAAAAAAACTTTTTAATTTCAACATCTTGTGAAAGTGTCACCAACGTGCTTTATGTGGATTATTATCAAAAATTGCATATTTTGTGTCACCTTTGTCGAAATTTCAATTTCCCAGGACAAACGAAACTGTATATATGCTATTCGACAGAGTGCAACCGGAAGGTACACAAAGTATATATATGTATATATGCTTTCACGACTACTCGCGTTGTTATAACAGTGCCCCAACTATATATGTATATATATATATATATACATGAATGTCTAGCATTGTTTTACGATCGTATAACTGTATATATACGCGCGAGAAACGTAATTTTGGACTTAGGTTTCTAATATAACTATGCAAGTGCGTTACAGTAATAATAGTAAATCTTTAAATAGCAATCAACTGCTGAATTTATAACGATGTTTATTTCTTTCTCTTCTCTCAAGCCTATGTAAATTTCATTTAAGGTCATTTCAAAGTAAATTGTTTAGTTAAGTAATTATTTTTTGAAAATAATTATAATTGAAGAGCCAAAAGTTTTGAACGTTTAAATGAACAAAATTTTTTTTCCAACTTCTTTAAGTACGAATTATATTATCAAAAATATTGTTTTAAGAATCTAAAAAGAAGTTATTTAATTTAATAGTTGTTTAATTTACTGTTTTAAATTTACATTGACATCATAATTTTAATCATTTATAGATTGAAAAAAATATTTCGTTCATTTGAACGTTCAAAACTTTTGGCTCATTAT